ATGTTGTGTTTGTGCATGTCCGTGTTGGTGTTTCAGTCTTTGTGATGTGCTTGAAGAGTTAGAGAACACTCCGGGTCGCTTCAAAGGTCCTGGTGATCTCATTGCTGAAAAGTTGGAGCGAATTCGTGCAGATGATGGTGAAGTTCCTGAGCCTCCTCTAGATGTTCCGATATCTTTACTTTATCCGATTTTAGGTCAATCGTATACCCGTTCAACCTTCGAAGCAGCACACTGAACAGCGCACGACAACTGGACCAGGAGGTGCACCAGCTGCGGCTGCGAAACCATTGGAGAGCAGAGGACATGTGAGATTATTGAACCTTTTCTACGGATGGCGATATTCATGACAACGTGTTCAGGGCTCCCTTAATAATCCTGGCGGTCGAATCCCGTATTGCGAATCTTGCAAACAGCAAATAAGGTGAGTTTCTTACACGTTCAAAGCAGATTTTCTTAACTTAATAAAAGGGCAGCGCAACACCCTTAGTCCGAGAAATCACTTTTTCTCATCTATTGCTTCCATTTTGACTTACTTAAATGAGCGGTTCGCGAAGACCTATGAAAGTGCAAGTTGGGTATGTGGGAAGGTAGTGCGGTCCGGGTGGAACAACCCTGTGCCAGTTTCGCGGCGGAAAGTTGTACGGTAAAGGGATTAAGGCGCAAAGTTGCTTCAGTGGTACATCCCTTTTTCCAGTGACTCCGCCTCCAGACTCCGCCTCCAAAGTCGGCCTTCCAGCCAAAAGTAATGCTCCCGGGCAAGTATCATGGAGTGGATGCATTCAATGTCTCTTGTAGAGTCATAGGGTTCATTACTGGGAATCAGCCGACGGGAATTGTCCCAGCGCGCGGTCTTTTCGGTCTTTTACCTCTACAGTTGTTTGAGGCTAGAGGAGGCCTGACGAATGAACGTTCCCTTTGGCATTTTCTCTTCATAGATGGTTCACTTGGCGAATTTTCTTCCACATTTCTGCAAACATCACCTAGGCTTTTTATCGCGGACCGTGCCTTTGAGATTTCGAAGGGAACTCCAGGTTGCATAGCTTCTACACAGCTGAGATACTATGTGACTACGTCACGATACACAGGAGAGTACTGAGAGGACGAGTCTTTCTCATAGTACTCCCCTGTCTAAGAAATCATTTCTCCACCTCCGCGACAATTCTTTTACTCACCATTCATGATGTATTAGGTTTGGTTGCAGTCCTATAACTTTTCCAGACGGGTTCTTCATAATTCCGTTTGAAAGTTCATGTTCGTATTTGAACATTTCTTTTGTACTATTATTTCACCTATTGATGCATAGTTCAGAGGTGCATTCGTGTTGGCTACTGGATTGGCGTGGTGCCCGGAACACTTCGTGTGCGCCTATCGTGGATGCGGTCGGACGTCTTCTGGAATGTTTCGTGAGGAGAGCTGAGTCCCCAGAGTATTGTGAAGGATGCCTTTCGAGCACATACGCTCGCACGTTTGCGCCAAGATTGTGCGAGTCGCCATCATTTCGGTTGGGTTCAAATTTCACTTTCACCATGAGTCTCGTAAGAGAAAGAAAAACAAGAAAAATTCCTTACAGCCCAATGCCCCTTGCATCTTGCGTTTTGTTTCCCGTCTTCGCGAGGAATCCAAGTATCCTGACTGTTAGTGGAGCTATCTAGAGTGATGATCAATTTTTGCCTCGTGAACATTATTTCTCTGAAAAATGCCTTACTCTTTCCCACCAATGTACCGGACTTTGAGGGGCGCTGAAATTAGTCGACTCAAGCGAAGGGGGGGCGGGGGGCATTTCGCACTCAACGATCTTCCGCATCGACCTGTCGCCCATCCGAACAGCCTCTTCTCGATTTGATAGGTTTTACCATACCACGAGCTTGCTCCCGCTTCACAAGAATTCACAGGTTTCACCAGAGTGAGACTTGTAAACCAGAACTAGTGAGGCAACGAAAGTGTAAATTGCCCTCCCTCCCTCCCTCCCCTTTTCCGCTAGCAAACTGCTGCGCTGAGATTTCTGCCAAGAAGTAACAACCTGAAATATGCAAGTTTCATTCATTACACTTCATGATTACTTGACGGCCCAGCAGTTGCCATCCCATTGGCTATACTATTCGCACGTTGCACGTTGCAATGGGTGTCTCCTATGATCTTCAAGGCAACAGGCTTGATATAAGACGGCACAAGCTCTGAAATGTTTGCCTAAGCTGAAAGCTTTGGGCAAAAATCGAAAAGGTAGAATTTTTGACGAGAATTCTGATGTATCGATGTTATTTCCGCCCTCAGTATCGACGTATTTCGCAGGCTACAATAAACGCTTACACTTTACATCACCGCAATTGTCGGGTCGCAATCAGCGGCTCGCACCTGCGGCGTTTCCATCATTGGTTGCTCCCTCCCTAAATCGATCTTTACCCGATCGCCATTGGTAGAGCAACGAGGCCGAACGCCCATTTGGACCGCGTTGCACAGCCGCCCTCCGACAGTCCGCAATGATGAGGACTGTACATCTACATTCCTCTTTCGGGGTACCCGTCGCGTTCATAAATGGTGACTAGCGTGGCTTGTATACTGCTGTCGAGGTTTCAGTGATTCAGTAGTGAAGAAAAGAATAGGAAAATTTCCCAAAATGCTTTATATAGAAAACACGCCGAACCGAACTTGAGCATGTAGAAGGCAAAGAGAGAAGAGGGCGTGGTCGGACGAGTTCGCTTGCGTCCCAGTTCTTTTCTAGGAAGGCTTTAGGAAAGAAGCATGGGTGTTGCATTAGGCAGCGGGTAGGCCGTTCTCTTTGTTGCGAGCGTAGCGCCTAATCACATATTTTTGACATCGTTTGCTCAACTCACATATTGTTGACATCGTTTGCTCAACTTTATGAACAGTGTTATTCTAAGTTTACCTCCTCCTTGGAAGTCTTGTGAGTGCTTCAATGAAGTATGATCAATGCTCGAAAAGCGGTGTATTTACCTGGCTCCATTAGACACATAAACCATTTCAGGATTGTCTGAATGCGATGCAGAAGAAATGGCATCCCACATGCTTCACGTGTGCTCACTGTCATAAACCGTTCGGAAACACTGCGTTCTATTTGGAAAATGGCTTGGCTTATTGCGAAAACGGTAAGGATCCTCCACTCATTGCTAAGAATTCCGCTGTACATTCCTTCAGGGCTGTGTTTCAGACTGGAACGCGTTGTTCACAACGAAGTGCGTGTCATGTAAGTATCCGATCGAGGCTGGTGACAGGTGGGTGGAAGCACTTGGCAACGCCTTCCACTCGAACTGCTTCAACTGCACGGTAAGAACCCATCATTGATCTGCTAGCGATGCACAGAACTACTGAAAACCTTTCGCTTTTCAGCGCTGCCATTCAAATTTGGAAGGCGAGAGTTTCTTCGCGAAGAATGGCCAGCCCTACTGCAAAATGCATGCATAAGCAAGAGATGCAGAGATAACAAGTGTCACCATCGTCTCTGCAACATCTGGGCTGATCGACACACTTTACTCCTCAACAATACTAGTTCGTAGTCACTTTCTTTGGAAAATGGAACTGTATAACTTGTACTGAAATGCAGTTGCAATCCCTCATTCAATCGATAGAACTAGGTAGAAATCAACAGATTTGTTCCGCTGAATTGTAAATTCGTGTAGAAATTGTGACCTGTCGATCAGCTCGCTCAAACGATATAAGAAGTCAAACGTCCTCGATTCACTCCACAGTGTGAACCTGAGCCCCCCGATCCGACCCTATTCACCAAAATCAGCTCATCTTGCTTATTTTTGCACGAGAACTTTGCTGCTAGAAACCTTAAGGTACTGAGGTGGGAAACTTTCCACCACTATGGCATCAAAATCTAATTTAAGTAAGCCTATACGTCTGCTTGTCGCTCTTTCCCTTTTATTGTCCTCCTTTCTTTATTATTGCAACGTGTTCGTTTGGGCCAAATTGTGCTTGGTGGCAATGAATTTTGTCTCAAATAAATCATTTATTTCCATTCAGAGCTCACTTCAGGCGATTTTTGAGCCTTATTAGAATCGCCTCCGGGATGTGAACAAACGACCTGCTAAACTGTGAGCGGGGGAAAATATGTAACGAGATGGAACAGCACAATAGTTCTTCCCTATCAACAGTACTACTCGAATTGACTTTGGCGGGTTTTAAAGGAATTCCAGTTTTGACAATTAATACTACACTGAAATTTAACAGAACATAGAGTAAAGTGAATAACAAACACACACATTCAAAGGAACCGCACCACGCAAAAGCACAGAAGTTACCAGTCGGTTTGAAACGCGTAAACTCGTCCAAAAGGGATCTAAGGGGGCCTAGGAAATTGAAAAAACATTCGTCCAATGTCAAGGGATCAGACACACCGATCCACGGCGCTGTTCACTCAAATTCGTGCCATGTCTGCATTCCGTGCATGATTACGGTTGAGGCAACGATGCATCATTCCGCAACGTGCCATATCCGCTTGAGGCGTCTCCATCGTGAAGTGTTTGACTGCCATGTCCATTGGCGACGATGGAAGCTTCGTGACCGTTAGCCACAGCGGTTTTTTCGTGACCATTGACGTGATGGGTTGGTGCGTACGAAGTTCGACCGTTCTTCTCCATATGGACGATCGGGGAACGGCCACTGAACGGATAAATTCAGTTTGTTTCATATGTCGAAAGCTATTAGGGTAAATAAAGTAAAGGATAAAGGATAAAGGATAAAGTCTTCGCCGTCAATCAATCCCTTTGTGGGATGCGGCACGCATTCTACTTCCATTCAGAATCGTAGCGGCTTTTTGAAATGCGATGTGGCCTATACAATGACTTGCGGGGGGCCAGCCGATGTACAAGTCAGTGTTATTATCCTCCCAGACGAATCTGGTACCAATTTACCGTCCCCGGAGGGTAGAAGGCTTGGTTGGCCTGGGCGGGTGTCGACCTGGGATTCGAACCCAGGACCGCGCGAAGCCGTGAGCGCGCCACTTGTCTACACCACCCCGCCTCAGGGTAAATAATGCAGTCAAATAAAACCATTTGAAGACCTCCAAAACAAGTCAATGGCCGTACAAGCAATCGTGTAAATACAACAGGGAGAATATTGGCAGCGTCTCCTTTGACCCAAAATTGTGACAGACTTGTGTGCGCTAGTTTCAGTCACTTCAGTCGCGCTCCATTGGAAAGACAAGTCGAAAGTCGAGTCGGTACGAGAGGATGAATTCCTGCATACTTTGCTCTGCATTTTTCAACCTTAAAACCATAGAAATGCCCAGTGAATAGGGAATTCATAGATTTCAACGATTCCTCAAGCAGGGTCGCCACACACCAGAAAGGTTCATGGTGGACAGCACAACGGGAAGCAGTGGTCGCATTCAGAGGGACAGCATGGCGATGGCTGAAACAGGAGCGTCAGTAAGACCCACCCCCCCCCCATTTTTTCCTCTGGTACGACCCACATCTCACAACCTAGCTACCTACTCATCGAATCCCAGTGAACACTTACCCAAACTTTTCAAAGAGGTGAGGTAGATCTCTCTCGAAACCAAATACTTTCTCCCACAACCAAGTATGACCATCCCTGATAGATTTCGCACAATCTTGCTCCACCCTGGGCATACAAGAGAAAAACTGATACATCGATTACTTTTGTGCCACCGAACCATGCGAGCTCTTTTAAGCAAGCAACCTAATTGAGTGCTCCACAGAAAACAAAAAAACATTAATGAGCCTGCGCGTCTTTCACTTTAAAGCAGGAGCTCTAGCGATAGCGCTGATCCACGACGGATTATGCTATTTAAGTGCTTTGTGTCAATCAGGGCGACCACGTAGGGCTTCCCGATGCTGCAAGTTCGCAGAAAGGGTTCCATGTTGGCAGCCAACGCTAGCTGGTGTTCTAGCTCGTAAGGGCGAACTTGAAGGGGAAGGGAGGTCACTCGCGCACTTGCACTGAAGTCGGAAACCTATCGTTCAAGGCAGCGCCTGCATTCATTTAATGTTCCTCGCCCACGATTAGATGTTTGTAGCTTTGTCGGCAAGGGTTGAGGATGTACTAACTTCGCAGCTCAAAAATACGAGAGGATGTTGCCACCCGCAATGAAGAGGATGCCCGCTCCGCCCACTGGCTGCCATAACTGCTTTGGCTTAGCCTTTGGAAGGCTGAGCCCGCTTTCAAGAATAATGAGTTATGGAGCTCATATAATACGTGATCCAGTAGTGAAGAAAAAAGCAGAAAAAATCATGGAAAATGCCCTATATAGAACCCTATGCTGGCCAGGTGGGCGGGCGGCCGACTCTTCACTAGCGAACGGCGCTATCCTCTCGCCTTTTTTAGTGCAAAACTAGTACATAGCATCCTCATAGGGAGGGCTATGATATCCAGAGAGGGCGCTGGAACATCAAATGAACGCGTGCGCTGCCTATAAGTTCCGGTCAGTTGACTGTGATCAAAGTCGGGTACATAGAACTCAGTTTGTAGCCAGGTAGTTCACTAGAAGGCTGCCAGTTCCCTTTTCGAATCTGATCATGAAACTTCTGAACGACGTTCATTACCACGAATAAGAAGCTGCGTAAAACGTTGCCTCTCTGCTTTATAGCCTGTTGAAGAGCATTACTTTGCAAGATCTTAGTAGTAAAATGAGAAAATGGTCCTGACATAGCCGCTTAAAATGCCGTTCATAGACGGACAGGTCACTCGATTATTAGGCACATCAAAACTATCAAGTTGGAGGAGCACTATAACAGTACCGTTGCAGTGGGGCAGAATGGCAAGACAGTAACATCACAACCTCATTTACAGAAAAAAAACTGCCAGCCATACCCAAACAACTGCTCGTCAGAGAAACGCGAGAGGACCTGATGCTCTGCTCTGCTGAATTATCTATTTTATCAGTACTAGCACTGAATTGAATGGTTTTCATTTCTTCTCATTTTTTTTCTCTTACGATGTGAATGACGGAGGTACTGCACCCGTTTGGATAATTCCTCCCCGACTTCTGCCGATATGATAGCACCTAGATATACCTTCGTGGGGTGGGCGATTTCCGAGCAGACCGTTCGTCCACATAGCGCAAATACTTGTGTGCTCTGGATAGAAGATAGACACTCAATGCCGAACCCAACAAGCAGCGTGTCCATGTGGGTGTCCTGAAACGAAAGAAGCTGCCCCCATTGAATTTGTAGCGGGAAAACAAGCGAACTTACTTGTTGGGTATAA